AAGACAGAGAGAGAGAGAGAGAAAGATAGAGAGAGAGAGAGACAGAGACAGAGAGAGAGAGAGAGAGAGACGGATGGACGGACAGACAGACAGACAGACAGACAGACAGACAGACAGACAGACAGACAGACAAACAGACAGACAGACAGACTGACAGACAGACAGACAGAGAGAGAGAGAGAGAGAAAGACAGAGAGAGAGAGAGAGAGAGAGAGAGAGAGAGAGAGAGTGAGAGAGAGAGAGAAAGAGAGAGGAGCATATATACCTCCATTATAGGTGGGGTTATGGAACATCTTGAGTGAGTGAGCCGGCAGAGACATGCTAGGCCCTCCCACAATTGACGGCGGTTTGTTGGAGAAGGCTGGGTTCACAGCGAATGTCGGGTAGTCCTCGAAACCTTTGAGAGAGCGACTGGCCATGCTAGCTCGCTCGTCATACTCCGAGGTGTAGGCCGTCTTGCCATTACTTTGTTTGCGTCTGGAAAGAATAAATAGATTTCGTTAGTTCTTGTTAGTTTTCAATAGGCCTAAGTGTTTTACGCACTTGCATCACAGTAAGGTTATATAATACATATTTAGTTAGTTTTTAAGTTTTACTAGGCGTTTTTCGGCAATTGCAACACAACAAGGTTATAGTTATATATTATAAGTGTCGAAGATTAAAGATGTTACATGATAGTACACGTGTAATAAGTTTTGGTAAGTGTTTTGTGGCATTTGCAACACAATAAGGTCATAGAAGTGCCGAAGATTAGAGGTGTTACAAGAGAGTAACAAACACACAAAAAGGAGGAGAGATAAGGACAATAGATGTTTGATAGGAAAAAAGGAGCAAACCACACCAGAGCACCCGCCAACCACCCACTTGATCGTGTTTGTTACATGTAACACTGAGGACTACACTGAGCGGCCATGACAGTTTACACGTAACAATGACGTTACACCGGGTGGCCATGACAGCTTTCCCCGACTGACATTACATCGAGCGGCCATGACAGTTTCCCCTGACTGACCTGGCCATGACACAGATGCAGACGAGGAGCAGGATGAGGAAGAGGAGTCCGACGAGCGTGGTGATGACCGCGATGATGATCGTGTCCTTCTCGTTGTCCGACAGCGCCGCAGGGTCTGAGGGAGGGAGAGAGAGAAAAACAGTAGGAGTTTGGGGTTTTTTTTGTTTGTTTTGGTAAGTGTTTTACGGCGCTCCCAACTGCATAAGATCACATGAGCACGCGGGACACACCTAATATTTGCAGTTGGTAGGAAATTTTTAATTTTGCTTGGGTGGCGGCCGAAGCCTACTCTTATAGATTTTGGACCTACAAGGGATCTTTAACGATCGTAACTTGCACACGGGACCTCCGAGATTTTTCGCCCTCGTCCGAGAAGGCTAGGTGTAAATTTTTCCTACCAGAAGATCAGGGGTGTGGCTGAAAGACAGCAGTAAGAAGAGTAGGAGTTTACGCATTTATCAACACTATTAGGTTGATTAAGAGGCCGTGACCCCAGTGTTTTCTTGTGGAAAATGGTCAAACGGTATAGGTTTAACGCCCCTATCAACACTGTTAGGTTATTTAAGGGGCGGGACCTCCTAGTTTAACATCCGTCTCCGATAGGACCGAGCCAAGTGGGAAATTCATGTAAAGTGTCTTTCCCATGGACACAACGTCGGACCGAGCTGAGGCTCGAAACCAGGAACTCGCAATCTCACGATTACAAGTCCGGCAGCCTAACCACTAGGCCACCTATGTCACTTTCTTGTCGTATCTCCGTTTTTAATAACAGTGAAAAACAGTTCATAACAAAGAGTGTGCTGAAGAAGATGTCACATTTTCACTGTTTAAAAGATGGAGATACGACAAGAAAGCACTGAGGTCGCTGAATGCTCCGACATTTTAGCAAACCTAAACAAACCGTACACATAATGCGCGTCATATAAGTCTGTGGCGTAAGTCTGTGATATATGTCTATGACAAAACAGATAGCATTTGTATAGCGCAAATCCCCGCTCAACAGCAAGCTCTATGCGCTTCACAATCTATACTATTACCCCAGCAGACCTGAGGCATTCTGAAACAACCTCAACTTCCTGGGAAGCATACAGTGCAAGCGGCCATTTATAGGAGCTAAAGCACTAACAAACTGACAAGATCTTTCGCTGTCTATGACCGGGTACCCATTCCCATCTGGGTGAAGTGAGGAAAATTCGTGTAAAGTGACTTTCCCAAGGACACAACGTCCGGCCCGCGGCTCGAACCTCCAAACCCGCAACCTCACGATTTCGAGTCTGGTAGCCTAACCACTTTGCTACTGACGCTACTATGACATATATATGTCTGTGACATATGACATAAATGTGTGACATATGACATTAATTTTTGACAATAGTCAGTGACATATGATATAAGTCTGTGACATGTGACACATTCAGTGAGGCAAGACTAACCAGGCCTGATCTCGCAGCGTTCCCCAGAGTAGCCGCCGGTACAGACACACTGGAAGGGTTGGAGCTGGCAGTCTCCGTTGTCCCCGCACCAGTCTGTCTCACACTTGTCTGGAAGAAATAAGACAGATAGTATTTGTACTTGTCTGGAAGAAATAAGACAGACAGTATTTGTACTTGTCTGGAAGAAATAAGACAGATATTATTTTTAGTTAAGTTTTAGTAGAAGTTTAACGGCACTAGCAACTGTGTAAGGTCATATGAGTGCCAGAAGATTAGGGGAGTTACAAGAGAGTAACAAATATAAGAAAGAAGAAGGGGAGATAAGGACGATAGATGTTTGATAGGAAAGAAGAAGCAAACCACACCAGAGCACCTGCCAACCACCAACAGATAGTATTTTATGGTCTAGCACTTGTCTGAAAGAAATATGACAGATAGTATTTTACGGTCTCTGTGAGACATTTTCGGTCGCCGTACAGGAATGGAGAAAACAAACGTAGATATACAAATGCATGAATTTAACATTTGCGAAGCATTGTGGTGAAATCAGGCACTAGTCAAAATAATGAAATCAGAGAAATTCGCTTGTAGCTTGTATTTGGGGGCCGATGGGCAATTTTTTTAGTACTTTTTATATTTGGCTCCACACCTTTTATCTCCATTTAAAAACACATTTTTGAGTGGATTTTACTTAAAATATTGATCAAAAGCACAAAAAACCAGTAAATGTTCAGTTTCAAATGACTTTTAGTCTATGGAAGTTACTTAACCGAGTTCTCACTTGACTTTTGCCAGGTAAAGTGGCAAAAATAGCAACATTTGTACACCCCCCCAAC